TACTCATAAAACAAGTAACATGGCGTGGCTTTGATAATTTCTAAGTAGTCATGACTAGGTTTACTATAACAGACAACATAGAGAAACTAATATTGGACCCTAAATCATAAAACCAATAACAAGACATGTAATTTATCTTTCTGATAGTCATTAATCTTAGACCCAAAATCATTAAACCAATAATGAGACATGTAATTTATCTTGCTAGTAGTCATTAATCTTAATTGGAATTGCAAGAAAATTACTTAGTCACCATGTCTCATTGTGAGTCCCCTATATTTTGGGTTCAAAAAGAAACACTTTGCAGTTATATCCTGATGAAGGACTCCTATCTATTTTCACATTCAGGGCAAACAATAACTGTCCATAAACTAGAGACAATTGTCTAAAGTACTGAAGGAACAAAAGGCGGCCTCGTTGTAAAACATGAAGATTTGAAGAACAATACACTAATCCAAGGATGATTCTCTTTTAGGTAACACCAACCATCCTTTGAATAGTAATCACTGGATAACTTTGCCAGCTATGAATATTGTACCCCAGAAATACAGGAGTGAAACACTCATGAGTCTTTCAAGGAACAATTTTTCAAAATAAACACATTTAAATTTTTTATTAAAAAAACAGACACACTTTCGGTTTATTTCTAGAAGCAGACTCATTTCGTGGCCACATCAGCAGCGTGGCCACGAAATGAGTCTGTTTTTTTTTAATCGCGCCTCTAAATAGTCGGGATTGCCAACCCCGACTGGCAAACTTGACTATTTTGCACACCCTGGTAAATATACAGGCTAAATTAGTCGGAGTTGGCAACCCCGACTAATTTAGCATGCTGGCTAATTGGTCGAGGTTGGGAACCCCGACCAATTTGAAAGCTCGCTATCGAAATGGTCGGGGTTGAGAACCCCGACCATTTAGTAGAGACTTATGGCCTAGTCGCCGAGTGGAGCTGAAAACGACTAAGGGACAATAGTCGGGGTTGTGAACCCTGACTATTTGTTACCTAGGCCCGCCCCTTATATAAAGGCGACGACTTCATCTCCCAAGCCCCCACTCGTTTCCAGCCGCCGCTCTCCTCTCATTTTGTGGTTGTCATCCTCCTAAACTCTGTTTGAGCCACCGATCTCATATTACAACCTCAAATTTCGTCTGAATATCATAGTGAAAGATCTACCAGGTAATTTCTCTACATTCTCTCATATTTTAACATGTAGAAAATCTAGGTTTTTTTCTCAAAAACGAATTTCTAGGGTTTGAACTCTATTTGTAGTGGTTTATTTAGAAAATTTATTGTTGTAGTTGAAATTAAACATTTGGGGCATAGTACTCAATTTTAGGGTTTAGGATTTGGGGGTCAATTTTTAGGTTTAGGATTTGGGGGTTTACGGTTGTAGTTGGGGTTTAGGATTGTAATTGGGGTTTAGGGTTGTAATTGATAATATTTTTTAATTTTTTTGCATTTAAATGATATAATTTTGTTTTGCATAGGTTAAACAATATGATTTTTATTGCTTGCTCTTATGGTGGAACAATTAATTATGGAATGAATAATATGCCAATGTACGTCGGAGGGGTGACAGACATCGGAATCATATAGTTACCTTGACTTGGTTAATGAATTGCATCGAGTTACGACAATTGACCCACGGGAGTATCGACCAAAAATAATATGCAATTGGCCGATAACTTATGCTAGAACGTCCGCAGTTGAGATCTCAAACGATCATTCGATGAGTATTTTGTTTAATTTAAGCAAGTCATAACCAACGGTAGAATTGTTTATTAAAACGGTGTCACATAGTACGGGCCAAATATTTAACAATCCAGGAGAATTCTCACGCATGTTAGATTTGGGAGTTGAGTCTAAAGGCTTTCTTTCTTCTTCGAGTGGAATGGAGCGGACTCAACTTCAATATCACAGTGGTGCACCTTCATATTCTTCGAGTGGAATGGAGCGGACTCAACTTCAATATCACAGTGGTGCACCTTCATATGAAGAGGATGAAAGAAGCGACGCCTCTGATGGTTCAATATCACAGTGGTGCACCTTCATATGAAGAGGATGAAAGAAGCGACGCCTCTGATGGTGAAGATGGAGATAGTGCACCAATTGACAGCATGCAATTTGTAGGTGAAGATGATGAAGAGAATCCGGATTGACCAGATGAAGCTTATGTTAATAATGAATATGTTGAGTACGAGGAACCACCCCCCGACGAGTTTGAAGATGATGAGTGGGTTCATTCTTCCACAGTACATGATACGTGCATTGGCAAAAGTTCATCTAATATAGGAGATGATGAGGTCCCTTTCAGAGTTGGTGAATTATTCGAGACTAAAGACCAATTGGTTGATGCTATTCGTGATTACTGAGGTCCCTTTCAGAGTTGGTGAATTATTCGAGACTAAAGACCAATTGGTTGATGCTATTCGTGATTACTCAATCAAAAAGTTGGTCAAATTCAAGCATTGATGCTATTCGTGATTACTCAATCAAAAAGTTGGTCAAATTCAAGCAAATTAAAAGCAATCGCACAAATTATGAGGCAATCTGTTTTATGAATACATAAAGGCAAGGTCAAGCAGAGGGGAGTGAATCTGATTACGCATGTCCTTGGAAGTTATATGCATTTGCCGGAAAGAAACATAATGGGTATTTTAGGATCATAAAATACTGCGGTGTTCATATATGTAACAATCCAATGTTCGAGAGAGATCACAGTGGTGTCTCCGCCTCTTACATAGCTCGGTTGATTATGCCAAAATTAAAGAAGAAACTTGAACTAAAGCCCGATGACATAATTGATAGAGTGTCACCTAATAAGTGGATTGAAATATCGTATAGTAAAGCGTGGAATGCAAGGAGAATTGCAATGATAAAAATATTTGTGATTGGGAGAAGTCTTATGCGACACTACCTCAATATCTTAAGGCGATCAAAAGAAGCAATCCTGGATCTGAATACAAACTCATAACCAAAGAGGTCAATCTGGGAGTTCATAAATTCACCTCTGTATTTTGGGTATTTGGTCCTTCGATCGAGGGATTTAAATTTTGTCGGCCGGTCCTTAGCATTGATGGGACACACTTATACGCTAAATATAAGGGTGTATTGCTTGTCACTACAGGAGTAGATGCAGATGGAGGCTTATTTCCTTTGGCCTTCGCGGTTGTGGAGGTCGAGAACAGTGAAAATTGGGAGTGGTTTTTTTCCATCCAATTATATATTTTTAATGTGTTGCCTCCTAGAAAAATTACTTTATATCCGACAGGATAAAAGGTATTCCAAGAGCATTGTACAAGAGATTTGGCTCTCATCACAATCATCGCTATTGCTTACGACACATTAGAGCTAATTTTAAAAAGAGCTTTGGTCAGACATTTACAAAACCTTCTTTGGCAAGCGGGTGTTACACCCGAAACGTGTGTGTATGATACAGGATCAAATCAAGGCAACATCCCAAGCTGCACATGACTGAATTGAGAGTAGTTTGGGAAGTGATTACGTCGACCGGTGGGCACTAAGTAAAGATGGAGGAAATCGCTATTGCATGATAACAACTAATTGTTCTGAAAGCTTCTACGGTGTACTTAAGGGGGCTCGAGCAATGCCCATACAGGCATTGGTTGCGAGGACATTTTATAGACTAAATTATTATTTTGTCAAGCGGCGAGAGGATGGAGCAAATTGGGGGATGTCGTTGACACCAAAAAATGAAGAGATTATGGGAGCTCGTGTCAAGCAGGCGAGATTGACTAAGATTGTTAGATTTGCTATAGATGAATGGCAGGTTACAGACAATCACTGTCATAATTACATCGTCAATTTACGAGGGACACAATGCGCATGCACATGTAACAGACCAGAATTTCTACTATGGCGCATGATGCATTGCGAACAACTACCGAGCCAGAGCCGAGGAACACGTTCCTTCACATGATAAAAAAGATTTGGTCCGCTCTTCAGAGGACGCATAATGCAAGACGTGATGAATGCGAGGAGCGACCAATTGAGTACGGGCGTCGACGGTTCCGAGGACACACGGGGGCAGGCTCAAGCCGTGCACATGATGAAGCTGGCAGCTAACAGCAGGCTCAAGCCGAATGTTCACAGCCGGTTGGAGTCGACGAGGATGTCATGCGCTCCCAACTTCACACACAACCGGACGAGGATCTCATCCGAGCTCAATCAAAGGTGAACAGGGAAGGGGGAGAGGAAGGAGAAGGAGAGGGAGAGGGAGAGGGAGAGGAAAGGGAGTTGTAAATATTTGTTAAGTTTCGATATACTTGATAGGATTTTTTGCGTTTGAAACTGAATATTATGTATCCGATTGAGTATTGATGATTAGCATGTGAATTGTATGGTATGAATTTTTAGTAAGTGAAATGAATGTTTGCAATTATGGATTGGTGTGTGCATTATTTGTGATTGTGATTGCATTGTAGGTTGATAAATGTGTATCATTAGTTGGTGGATTGATATGTACTAACAGGAGTTTGATTTTCCAGCTGAAAATAGGGAGGACGAGCTCTGCAAACTGGTCGGGGTTGGAAACCCCGACCATTTTGTGCACCTACACGAAATGGTCGGGGATGCCAACCCCGACCATTTTGCCTTAGCCAACTTTTGCTTCAAAAGTCTCTGCTAAATGGTCAGGGTTGGGAACCCCGACCATTTTGATAGCGGGCTTTCGAATTGGTCGGGGTGCCCAACCCCAACCAATTAGACAGCGTGCTAAATTAGTCGGGGTTACCAACCCTAACTAATTTAGTCTGTATATTTACCAGGACGTGCAAAATAGTCGGGGTTAACAACCCCGACTATTTAGATGTGTGATTAAAAAAATAGACCCATTTCGTGGCCACGCTGCTGATGTGGCCACGAAATGGGTCTGTTTCTGGAAATAAAACAAAAGTGGGTCTGTTTTTTTAATAAAAAATTTAAATGAGTTTATTTTGAAAATTTGTTCTCTTTCAACAAGTTATCTAAAACAAAACTATTAAACCAAGATGACGAAATGCTTGGCCAACCATTTATATTTCTCAAACCATACAGTTCGATACAAGACACTTGGAAGGAGAAATTTACATGATTTGTACATACCATGAATTAGATAATTGCCATCGATGAACAAAGTTAACAACGAAAACAAGTCATCCGTTCCATTAGTCTCCAATGACTGCCTCTGCCTCTTCCAGGTTAGCAAAACACTTGCAGAAGTTTATGGCCATCACCACCAGCATCTCCACCTCTGTAAAAATATTAACAGTGAAGAATAAGAAGTATCCGAGATATATGTAAGAAGCAAGATTTCAACTGAAGTGTGCAGCTATTGCTTGAAGATGGCAACATAAGATAAACTACGAACCTACTAGTAAACTGAGAAAAAAAAACCGACATGTTTAAATGAAACCAGTAATATATTTTCCAACCAAAGATGAAACCTACAAGGTCAGCAAAAGTCATCATTGCTCCCCATTAAGCAATTTTTAGAAGAGAACTAAAAAGACAGCACATTCATAGGAAAAAAGAAATCGTTGCCTTATGATCACCATGTTGGATTCAGCAGTGCTCGAAAACATAACATTAATCCTAACAGCAGTTATGTAGGCAAAAATAAAAGAATAAATAATAAGTGTCATATTCATAAAATCATGAAACAACTTATGAGAAAAGTAATCTCACCAAAGTTGCTTTTTATTTAGTTGCTTTTGCTTGTCATCCTTTTCACCTCTTTGCAACGGACTGGAGACTTATGTGGTAGTTTTTGCTCCTGCAAAACTACCAAGTTAGCAATGGACAATGGAGAATCTTCTAAAATTCTAGTAATAATTCTACAGGAAAGGACACTCTTATTTAAGAAACTGGTACCTGATCATGAATTCGTAACTGAAAACTCCTAATATGCTCGAGTTGGACCTCATAAAACTTCTTTCTTTTCAATGATTCCATGACAGCTACGGAAAACAAATTGAACTGGAGATTCAGTTCCACCATTCTTCATACACAGATATGCAAAGTAAACAAATGTACAGATGGCAGCTAGCTACAGTATAGGAGCTTGTTCATCCATATTTTCCAACATATGCCTTGAAACTCTAAACGTGATTATTGAAAATTAATAATTTGAACATTTCATCTGCATGGGAACATATCAAGCTACAAGACCTTGGAGAACACATATTTCACAATAGGGTGGCACTAGAAATTGTTGACACTCCTAAGAACTTGCCTGTCACATACGCCCAAGACGCTTGAAGAAAGGAATTGAAGCAAATTTCCTTGCACAAAACCTTTGAGAAGGATTTGCGATAAAAGTTTACGCTATGCATTGGGTTATTAACGATATGACATATCTATATCCATATAAGATTGCATGCTTGTGCTCATAGATCTGATGGATTGCGACTTCCATTAAATTCTTAGAACACACCTTGTTTGTTCTTTGCTTTTGTAAATTTGTTTTCTCTCTCGACCTCTATAGATATCTTCTTTTGCAACAAGATTTCCTTTTCCTTGAGTTTTGCAAGTGCCTGCAATTCAAAAACATGATAAGCAACAGGAGCCGGTGTATAATACAAAGAAGAAATTCATATTAGTACTTTGAAAACTAATTGAACGGAGTTGGCTGATCCCTCTGGATTTCATATTATGGACCTCCCTGTCCTCTATTACTCTTCCCTTACCACAACCAAACTTCTCTTGGCACAATTTCAATTTATTGAGATTATAAAATCTTGAGGCATATCTCACTTGCTCCGAACAATTAAACAACCTCTCAAGGTTAAAACTTTCTACTACATACTCAATGGATCGCACTGCTAACAAACCATCATTTTGGAGAGAGCTTACAGTACCACTGCAATAGGAGTTATTTTAAAAGTAGAATGTTTCCACTAATATGTAACCTTGAAAAATTTTCACAATGAAGATGAATATGTCTTTGACCAGAAAAATATGTTGCTAAGAGAATCATAAATACTACTAACAACTGAGTATTTTGCTGGATGCATTACTAATGTAAAGCACATATTACACATGTGATGGTTTCTACATTGTAATTGTCAGTGAGAAAAAGAGAAGTCTGGCATAAAAATATGAATCTAATTTAGAAAGGAGATTATTTTCTATTTCTCAAACTATTGAGGTCAGCGGTGCATGACGACTCCCCACAATGCTCTCTTTAAACAGCAACAAAGTAGTGCCCTGCTTAGAGTCACAGACTCAAATGTGAGCAGGGGAAAGTGTTTACTTCAAATTCAAGTTCTGAAGTGGTAATAGACTCAAGGTATATTTGTTTAAACTCTAACATAAGCCATATCATCGCCAACTTTCTGACTAGATGGACAAGGTTTTGAATCACATTTAAAGGAGCTGCTGTCCAGTCAAATGAATGAATTCTGAATACAAACTCACCAAGGTCTGTCATCCAATCAGCATATCTATTGTCTATAGAGAAATGCCAAGAAAATCATATCTACATTCCATCACTAGCTATAGTTTATGCCTTTTAATAGTTCTTAATTTGTGTTCTAAGTCCAAGGGCACATGACAGGAAATGTTCAGAACTTGGAAATTAAGTAACTTCATTTTATATTATACCTAATATTAGAGTTTTTCTTTCATAACTTTCATTAGATACTCTACAAGATGTATAAGTATAGGGTATTGCCCTCTTCCTCATATGAACGGGCCATAAATTCTTTCTTTGATTTCAAGAAGAAGAAGAGTGGAACTTTTCTATATTCTCAATGATTATCAAAAAGGATAGTACCTCATACTCACACCTTGTAGAATATCTACAGAAGGAAACTCTAGTAAGGAAAAGAAACTGTCGTCTAATAATAAAAAATCCTAAACAGTAAAATATTGTATTTAATTTATACATCAAACCTACACTCCTCTATTAAAGGCAACAAATCATAGAAAATCTTCTCATTCTCCCTCTCAGGCTGGAATATAAAGATTAGTCAAGCTCAGCTCGTCCCAAAAGAGTTGAATAATTTGTCCTTTGTGATATTTCGGTCATATCAAGCATCAACAAAAAAGTTGTAGAGACAATAATAAAGCCAAGACAAAAAATTCGCGAGTGACATCAAGCTAAATGATACTCCAAGAGCGACAAATAAGGAAAGGAGGCATGAGCAACGTCAAGAAAAAGAAAGTTCCCAAGCTAGATAAGACAGTAATGTGCAACGGTATAAAAGTCGAGTTAGTCAAACACAAAACTGAGATCCGAGGAGGCTGAGTAGGCACAGAATTCATTAAAGACGCTAGACTCTAGAGAGATGGTGATGAACAACAGAGGTTATCGACACACATTGACATGGAAAGTATGCAGCGATCAGGTCTAGAGACGGTGACAATGGTGATCGAGATCGTCTGTGATCTCGAAGTCATGGAGAAGCAATGCAGGGATAGTACGAAGATGAAATGCGCATACACTTGACTCAAGAACAACCTCTGGACTTCATCGAAACTCGACACAAATGTCAGACACCGTATGCAAAATATAATAAACGAAATTATTAGAAGTCACCCAGAGAACAAAATCAAGTCGGATAAATAACTAAAACACATGGCATGCTTTTATTGCCATTCATATAAAAATTTTCCCAAAATGGTAGCTTTGCAAGAGCATTCTCAGCTTAAAATGAACTGCTGATGATGTTAAAGGGTTGACCATAAAAACGAAGATCTGAATATCATTGGTGTTAATAGATTTGAAGTAGATGAAAACAGAATTGTCAACAATGTCAAAGAGAGGTTAATGTGAGGAGACAGTAGTAGTGTCTTAGACGATGGTGCGATCTGAAAGCTATATATATATATATATATATATATATATATTGAACAGAAGAGTTGCTAGAGAGATTCAGATGAACTTCTACTGCTCCAAGAGTATTAACGTAGATTACATAACAAAACTCACTAACATGATTATGTATAATTAAGCCCAAAAGTCAAAGAGACTTAAACTGGACAATTGAAAGCAATTGAACAAGTGCTAAGTTTTTCTTGGAATTTTTGTCAATAATGTGGGTCATGTCAAAGCCATCAGGGGGGAAACATGACCATGATTTTTACAAAAAATCCCCCCGCAACCCAGAAATTAAGAGAGGACTTTGGGATAAAAAATTTGCTCTGATAATATGCCAAAATCAAAGATAGAAGAATTTATATTTCTCGTTCATATAAGTAAGTGGGTAAAAACCATCTTATATACCCTGTAGAATATCTAAGGAAAGTTCTTATTAAAAGAACTCCAATAAGACAAAACCATACGATACAGAAAAGTCCTAAATAAAGGTACTAAATTTAACTTACACATTGAATTTGGAACCTCTATTAAAGGCAAAGAACCATATGATATCTTCTAATAGGTATTGGTTCCAAATGAGAGATTAAACTAAAGTTTTGTGTTGTTTAATGCAACTAATGGTAAAAGACATAAGAAAGGTTGCATGTAAATATCATGTTTATCTCAGTCCATATTTCTCTTACTTCCGTACTTGAAGAAAGAAAGAAATAGGAATGGCTTCAGGACCTGATGTTTTATATTGTGCATTTAGGAGAATCAAATCAACCTAAAGCTCTTTGGATTTAATTATAAAGCAAAGCATATTTCATTTTGCTAAGCACACATTAAGAGCTCTACCCGCTAATCGCATCCTTAAACGAACATTTAATTAATTAAGATCAATGACCATCTTGTTTTATATAAAAGAAAGCCTTTCACTATGCATTAGAAATCATATAAATCATGAGAATTTGCTAATTACCGAATATGAGCTGATGTAGATAATGAGGATTCGTTATTGAATATGAGGTCACAAAAACCATGAGCATCACAATATGTATCAAATGTTTATAAGATTGAAACTTTGACATCAAAATCTTATGCAGTTAGAAAAGTGGACGCAGTCCTTTCGCTTCCCTAACAATTCCCTATGTAGTTGGGCTATAAAAGTATGTAGAGGCCTTTAATAAGAGGGGGTTTTATTTGAAAAGAATAAGAGGGGATTTATTTCTTTGGTTAAAGGTAATAAATTTTTATTTACTTTTTTTGAAATGACATGTGAGAATGCCTTTAATAGGAGGGGATTAGTTTCTTTGGTTAAGGCTGATGAAAGAGTTTTTTTTTTTTTTTGGTTGAAACAATATATAAGAAATTTTCAGATTTAAATGACCAAATAAGTAATATATAAACTATCTGAAATCGGCTCTTAAAGCTAGAGCCCCATCAAAAAAATGCGACCCTACTCAGATATTTCAAATCCTTTTTATCAATATCCAGTCAACTTGAGTAATTCATTCCTCCTTCACAACTGTCCAAAACCTTATCTTTCCTGGTCATCTGCACTCTGTAAAACTGAAACCCTCAATGGCATTTCCGTGCTTATCATAATTAAAGAACTCAGTAGTTACTCTAAGTTTGGTCACCCAATCAAATGTTATGATGGCTCTCGTACAAATTCCTTTCAGATATGTCACAACACTTTAAATGTCTATTCCAACTGCATTTTACCTAATTTGAGAGCAACCTGTATTTGTATTTGTTATCTATATAGTTCGCTTCTCTAGCATCTTAGTTTCTCCTTCATCCATCAGTTATCTCAACATTTATGTCCCATGAAACACAAAAATCTGAACCAAGTCATTCCACAAAAAATAGAGTTACTACTGACTAGCTATGCCATCACAAGCATGAATATGATGCATGCACATGATGGTGCCTTGTGATCTGGAGGCATGATACTGTTGGTCAATAACTACACTAATGCCGGTGTAGAGGCTAGAGCTACTCTAAGTAAATACATAATTATTTAAGAACATGAGCATCCAAGGAAAAATAGGAACACGGACCAATTAAGTGACAACTTCATTAAATGCTTTAACTTACAACAACTTCGTCAAATGCATAACATACTGGGACCAATTAAGTGACAACTTCATTAAATGCTTTAACTTACAACAACTTCGTCAAATGCATAACATACTGGAGAAACCAAATTTTAATGAAAAGTAAATGCTTTAACTTACAACAACTTCGTCAAATGCATAACATACTGGAGAAACCAAATTTTAATGAAAAGTTATTTCCCCATTGCAACCAGCTAGTCCAAATCTACACTAGGCGAGATGGCGATCATGATCGTTCTTGTATGTCTCTTCATGGTTCCCAATTTCCCCTTAGTCTACTTTCAAATTAGCCCAATAACGTACCACAATCCTCTAATCGATCAAATCTAGAATACTATAAAATTGAACCCTAAACCCCATGTCTACGCCCAAATCATCTGTTTCAGTTCGTTGCAGTCCAGATTTCAACCCTAATTTCAACAATAATTAGGAAATCACTCAAATTACGAATTTCCTAAAGCCAGACCAGGATCAAAATTGAGACATCAAAGTGAATCCGGTTCCGATTACAGTACAAACTCCAGTACCCTAACTTGACGAAGAAATTATTGAAATTAACAGTAAAAAACTAAGAAAAAGGAAAACTCTACCTGCTTCAATTTGTGGGAAGAGGAGTTAGGGCTAGATTCGTCCTTGCATCCTCGAAAAAGCTTGGCGAACATGATTTCTGGAGAGCGAGGAGAGAGAAGAAAAAGGGGTGAGAATAAAATCAGAGGGAAGCGGGAAATAGCACCTACATTAATTGTTTATCAGAGAAATGTAAATTAGAGAGTGTGAAGGGGTGTTTTTGCTAGTTTTGTTGGCAATAGTGGAATTAGTTTGGTTTCATTTTTTTTTATTAAGGAAATGAATTATTTGGGGAGAGAAAATAACAATTTTGTTGAAATCTAAAAGTCATTTTGTGGAAACCTAAAAGACAAAATGAATGTGGACATTACATTGAATGTGGAATATTAATTAGTGACTTTTCATTAATCCAAATGTCCTTTTATTTTCCACAATGTATCTATAAATTGGACCATGTATGGAAAAAGTAGGATGAATAAAAATGATTACAATTTTCTCTTCTTCTCTTGTCTCTTGTCTATCTCTTGTTTCATTTCTTTAGTATATTACAACACGTTATCAGCACGATACTCTAACCAACTGAATATGTTTTTGATGCCATCAACGACTCCCAAATCCCCAATCACTGATCGAAGATAGATCCGGCAAGCGTCGGGCCTCGTGTTCGAATTGCTGTATGGTGCGGTTCCTGTAGTTGGCGCCATCTGGATTGTTCTGTAAGTATCTGTATTTTTAAAACCTTTCGAGTTCATTGATAGCGTGAATAATTTTTTTGAGTTAGTGAATATTCTTAGTTTATGATGCTATGATCTGAACTCAAATAAGTCTATATTTGAAGATTCCATCGACTATCGACACGAAAAGATCTATTGACCTGTGTGAACTAAAAAAAAATCCTAGAGCACTAACTAATAAAGATTAATACTTGATACTGCTCAATTGGATAAATTTATAGTAAAGAAGCTTACTTTCTTGGGTAAGTTGAAAATATAAAATTTTGGATATATTTGACGGGCTATTTTATAGTATTTGTTCAACTTAGTAGTTCTATGATTGATATTGCTTATGTTCTAATTTTCTCCTGGCGGTGATTGTCCCCGTATAGTTAAATGTCTACTATGCTTGTTGTGCCTAATCCGAGGTGGATATATACCGAATTAGATGGTCTACTGCTACAACCTCTTGTAGCTGTTATCTTGGTCCTCAACTAATTTTTGTCAAATGAAACCATCTAATTAATTATTGCTTTCAGCAACCTTTTTCTCTCTCTTACCCTCTTACTTTAATTCAAAGTTTAAACATATTTTGAAGTTTGTTATCTTCTGTTTTGTTCTAACTTTCTTGCTTGATACCCATGTAATTGGTTAAGCTGCATAATAATTTAAGCTGCATAAGAGAAAAACATAAAAAGGAAGAGGATGCATTACAGAATTCTTTTAATTTCTTATTACCAACTCTGTGCATGGCACATTTATATCGGAAAAAGGAATATTTTTTTTACTTTGTCTTGGTTGACGTGAGATGGAGTTGTTAAGATAGGTTGATGTAAATTGTTTTCAAACAAAACCATCTTTTAGATGAAGTGGTTACTCTCAGCTCTTATTGCATTTTAAGGTGAAAAAGCAATGACTAGAAGCTCTTATATTATCTGCTGTTTCTCAAAAGTTTGAGTTTTTTTTATTGCTAAGAGATAGCACAAATATCATATAGGATTGCATGATTTGCAGGAGATAGTTGCATGAGTATGACCTGAGAAATCACAGTGCCTCTATGCCCACTCACTTTTCTCTAAAGATAGCTTCTTGCACTTAGCTTTAATGGGTAACAAATTATCTCCTGCCTCTATTAGATGATGCAGGAATGCTACATAGTAGATGTCCCTTATATGGGCTTACACATTCATCTTGTAGAAAGATCTGTCAGACATTAACTTTACTCTATTATCTAGAGAACCAGAGGCGTGGCGGTGTACTTTCCTATTTTAAAGTATTAAGAAGGAATTTTTTTTATTCTAAGGCACTAATTCTTCTTTCCACTGAATTATACAATATTAGTTTCTATTCAAAATTATGCCTTATGGTGTTGATATGCTGCAACTATGAGTCTAGAAGAAAGATAGCACAAACTGATTATGCCTTTATTTAATTTTACTTTGCTTGAGTTTGTGATGCGTCATTGATCATCAGATTCACTTAAAATTTTGTGTGAATTTAAATCGACTAGTTTCAGAAGCAAACATTTGAAAGATAACCTTTAATGAAGATCTCTTAGAAAATGGCTTGATGATTTGGTGATTATGTGTGATACTTATTACAATGTGAATATTTCTAATACACTAAATCTTGCATCACCCATGGATTAGTGACGTGTACTATATGATAGTAATTATATACTTGTCTTTGGCCTCAACGTTCATTATTTACTGGGACAGCCCTATGATTTTCGCAAAAATCTAAATCTCTTGATTCTTTAGTATCTTTGTTCAGAAGGCCAAACACTTTAATTTTCTCTCTATCAATTTAAGACGTGAAAAAGTATTTACTTTTTCTGGGCAATCCCTGAAATGATCGTTTTAATCTATGGAAGCCTATAATCTTCCCTAAGTACAACTGCGCCAGGACTGAATTGTAGAACTTGTTTGCAATTTCAAAACATGACTAAATCATGATGCAGCTCTGTACCACATTATCTAGCCCAGCTGAAACTCTGTAAGCAGAACATTACAGACAATGATAAAATTGATCGAAAAGTTCTTTTCCTCATTCCACGCCCAAATAAATTGTACTCCAGCAGCAGTATGAGGTCCCTTTGAGTGATTTTCTCTATGTCTGGGATATCTATTAGTATTTTTTGACGCCTACCACAACCAATTGATGATTAGAAATCACAATGTCAGACTAGTTGGCTTACGAGTTGTGTTTGTAGCACATGCTATAATTCAGAAAATTACTTATACGTGTGGACAAGGGGGAGCTATGAACATAGTAGGAGATCGTATCATGCTGTAGCCATTTTTGGATTTTAAATCCTCGATTGAATGCAATTCAACAAGTAACCTTGTACTCTTGCAGTAGTACAAGACTAAAAATAAACTAATCCTTGCATTAGTAGTTGTTAAAAACACAACCAGCTGTTGTGAGAAACTATAATGCAAGTTTAATTGGTTCACACGTAGTGCCTGAAGCACATGTCATAATTCAAACTAATACTCATAAGCTTGGACGAGGGGAGTTAGTGGACATTGAAGTGGATCTTATCGAGGTGGTCAAGGTAAACTATTTTTTTTATATTTGGATTATATGCATTTGTCAGACAATTTTAATTTATCTTGAGTTTGCTTTAAACTCATGAGATCCTATGTGGCTTTTATTCATATGTGTATAATTTAGAATTTGTCTGACCTAAAATACATCATGTTGCGATGTGTTTAAGATTTAGGGACCCAAATTCTTTTAAATTCTGGCATGAGCGATTGGGTCATCTTGGGCATAATATGATTTGTCGGATTTCCTTAAATTAAATGGGGTACGTGGTGAATAATCGAAACATTTCCCATCTGCGTATTCTTTATTTGCAGTCCATATTTCTATATCACCACCCTAGCGTACCTCTATTGGGCCTTAGCAAAGATAAGGTACATACATTATTTATGAAACTCCGTCAATAATTTAGTACCTATGGCCCATATCAGGGGATCAATTTATAATTTGGAACGCTGACTGCATTTTTTTTGAAGATCAATTCTCGACATTAGGGGGAGATTAGCGCCCAAAATATAAAAGAATGTCGAGAAATTTCATAAAATGAATAGAATCTTCATTTTTAGATCCACGTACTAGTAAGCTGAACTAGAAGTTCAGTATAAAATTATCTGCCAAAGATAGGAGTGACTAAGCCCCATATTCATCTTGAGTATATCAACTGATGATTTGGTACGCCAGAAGCATACTGTGCCAGAAGCATATGAAACATGTTAGTGTAAAAGATAAAAGTCCGCGGTACACTAAATCTATTATAGAAAGACAGTCACTCCCATAACCTCCGGAAGAGGCTTGTCCTGAAGACGAAATCTCCAGTAAATTGCACGTGCACTTGATAATCATAATATTAGAGATGCGGAACATCCAAATCCAAACGTTAAGGGAACTGTCGAGGATTTGGTTAAAATAAAATAAGCTTTGAAGTGGCCACGAATTTGTGAAAAAAGAGAAATATATAATAGAAATATAAAAGTTGTCGACAACATAGTTGCCTCTACAGTTGCTCTTACTATCTCTGAAAATAATCTGGATCCAGAACCTAAGTCGGTAGCAGAGTGCTTGAAGCACTCGGACTAGGTGAGATGGAAAGTGGCAATTGAGACTGAGCTGAACTCGCTAAAGTATTTTGAACATGTAGTTCATATATCCCTGCAGGATATAAATGGGTCTTCATAAGAAAAATAAATGAGAATTGTAAGGTGGTAAGATATAAAGCGAGATTCATAGCTCAATGGGTTCACGCAGAGACCCGGCATCGATTTAGATGTCAGGTAGAATGTGGTTTAACCGACTGAATAAATTCCTCCTGAAGAGGAGATATGCAAATAATGATATCTACCCTTGTGTGTTTATAGAGAAATCTGAAAATGGCTTCTGTTCATCTCAATCTATGTTGATGATATAAATATTATTGGAACGCACAAGGAGCTTACAGAAGCTAGCTCATGCCTAAAGACGGAGTTTGAAATAAAAGACTTGGGAAAAATCAAATTTTGTCTCGACCTGCAGATCGAGCATGTTTCTAAAGAAATATTGGTATACCAGTCAACCTACCTGAAGAAGGTCATGAAGAGATTTTAAATGAATAAATCTCATGAACGTAGCACACCAATGGTTGTTAGATCCCTTGAAGTGGATAAAGACCCATACAAACCTAAAGAAGATAATGAGGATATTTTAGGACCTGAAGTCCCGTATTTGAGCGCTCTATTGAAGCACTTCTTTGTACCATGCCTGATATTGTATTTGTGTTATACTTGCTAGCAAGAATTAGTGCATCTCCTGGAAGGAGACATTGAAATAACATTAAATATATCCTCTGATATCTTCAAAGTACAAGAGATATTTGTTTATCAAAGTATGACATTGGTGGGCTATATTCTGATGTTGATTATATGA